ACATTTGATCAGCTGCATTCCTAATCCTTTTATGGTTCTGTTGTAGCACTGTCTCCCTCTCTGCACATGTTGGCACGTAGCCATTTAGATTTGAAACGGTGGCATAGCCAGGGCCCAGGTATCAGTAGATTATGAGAGAGCCTCTACTGTCTGTCCTCAGAATATCCATCCCTCGGTAAAGTTGGTACAGCATTTTCCTTTTCTTCTTGATTTTGTATTTGGAAATTCTCTTTCCTTCTCTCCTTTCTCTCTCTCTCTTTTTAAAATATATTTTTCTTTTGTTTTACTTTTTCCTTCTCTCCTTTTCCCTTCTCTTCTTCTTCCTCCTTCTCTTCCTCCTCCTCCTCCTCTTCCTCTTCCTCCTCCTTCCCCGCCTATCTTCTCATAGGCTTGGTACTCACTGTGTAGCCCAGGCTCGAATTGGTAGCAATCCTCCTGCTTCAACTTTTTATGAGCTAGGATTACAGGCATAAATCGCCAGTGGCTGTCAACAATGGATTTTCTCTGTGTGTGCATGGACCTGGAGCTTGCTATTTCTTCTGCTGGCTGGCTAGGCAGCAAACTCCAGTGGTCCTCCTGTCTCTGCTCTCCATGTTATTGGGGAATGGTGTGCACAGCCATGCTGGGTGTTTATATGTATGCTGGAGATCAAGCTCAGGTTCTCGTGCATGCTTGGTGAGCACCCTGACCCACTAAGCCATCTCCCCCGACATCTCTTTTTGGTTTTTTCCTTCCCCTTTCTTACTTTTCAGTGCTGGGGAACAAATCCAGGGCCTTCATTCTGCTAGGTGAGCAGTCCTTGCCTCAGCAGCAGCATCTATGGAAAACCAAACCAAAACCAAAACAAAACAACAAAAAATCCCACCTCTTTCCAATGGCTTACTAAAAGCATTTGTTTTACCAGGTAGTGGTGGTGCATATGTTTAATCCCAGCACTCAGGAGGAAGAGGCAGGTGAATCTTTGTGAGTTGGAAGCCAGCCTGGTCTACAGAGCAAGTTCCAGCATAGTCAAGGCTACACAAAGAAACCCTGTCTTAAAAAACAAAACAACAAAACAACAACAACAAAAGCTTTAAAAGCAGCAACAACAACAGAACCTCAAACATTTGTTTGTGTGTAAAGGTGTCACAGAGCCAGTGACATAGCACCTTTAAAGGCAATCTAAATCTTGTGATGGATTAAACATAAATAATTTGATAGACTGTCTTACTGTGGCCTTTTAAGACAACTCATTTTATTTATATAACTGTGCCTGCATTGTGTGTGTGTGTGTGTGTGTGTGTGTGTGCCTCTGGAGATGAGAGAACAACTCTGTGGAGTTGGTACTCTCCTTTTACCTTTATGTGGGTTCTGGGGATTGAACTCTGGTTGTCAGGCTTCAACAGCAATCCCCTTTGCCCACTGAGCCCTCTCTCCAGCCCCTATTGCAACTTTTAATAATTTAGACGTGGTATACTTCTGAGCATGTGGTAAGAATAAAAGCTCTTAGGCATTTTGGCTAGACTAGATTAACATTTCTTTATAATTAAGATGAACTTGGCTTGCTCTACCATCTGTGAAGACTAGATTTCTGAGTGTAGCAGCTGGGGTCTGCTTGTCATTTTTGAGCACACATTCAGGGACTGTAAGCAACAAGATACATGTACATTAAATACTTAGAGATGCAGAAGCATGAAACAAAGACAGATGCCTGGCCCTTCTTATAGTCACAGTAGAAGATAGGAGACATGCCACACAATTTAGTGAATGAAAAACAGTGAAGTCAGGAGTAGGTGTAGTCTCCTGTTAGTCCATGGAATCTATTTCAGAAGAGGATTTGACTCCTTTCTTTGTGCTGACTAAACTCTTCTTGTATTTGTATTGTGGTAGAAGTCATTCATAAACTGGTGTCTAGGCTCTCCCAGCAATGTGTTCTTGCTGTTGTCATGGAAGCCTGGTGCTACCTGTTGAACATGTCCCGCAACTGTGATGTGGAATTTGGATTCACAAGTAAAAATTGGTGGAGCATTCCAGTCCTCATGTTGGTTTGAATGAAAATGACGCCCAGGGGCTCATGTTTGAATACTTGGTCCCCAGTTGGTGGGACTGTTAGGGAAGAATTAGGAGGCATGTTGGTTTGTCACTGAGGGTGGCCTTGAGGATTCAAAAGCCCACTCCATTCCCAGTTAGGGTTTTCTGCTCTGTGGTTTTGTCTTAAGATGTGAACTCTCAACTACTGCCCTGCTGTCAGGCCTGCATATGTCCTGCCGTGTTCCCCACCACGGTTGTTGTGGACCCTCTGATACTCGTAAGCCCCAAATAAATACTCTATTCTATAAGTAACATTGGTAATAAAATAATGTCTTATCATAATAGAAATGCAACAAAGATAGAAGTTGGTACCAGGAGTGGGGGTTGAACCTACAGACAGGTATACTGGGTACCATAAGCAAAAGCATTTTCTTTTGTAACTTGCCTTGGCCATGGTCTTATCACAGCAATAGAAGAGGAAGACTGCCCTCAATTTAAAAGAAAAACACTGTCATCCTATTTTAACTTTACTGAAGGCCTTTAGAAGTGTGCACCTCATCATTGTGTGACATTGCAAAATGAACTTTGCCACTTTCTGTTTGCTTCAGTCTTTGCTTACATAAGAAGTTGCTTTATGTAGAAGGAGATATTTTGAAAGCGGCGCCCAGTCTGGCTTGTTCCTGGGCAGCCACCATGTTCCCGCTGCTCCTTGGCTCTGACCGGGGCTCCGGCTAGCTAGATGCCCAGGCCCTGGCACCCATGAGATACCAGCATGGGGGATGACTCTGTCAATCCCCCACGCCGCATCCACAAAGCTCGGCTGAACCTCAGACAATATCTGCCATCCTCGCAGTACCCGGTAGAAACGAGACTCTTAAAGCTTAATGATTATCTAAAGGATTTATATATTTAGAAATGCTCAATCAACAAGATGCCCACACATTAGAGTTGTCACCCAATATCTAACCTTTTGATAGAAGTTGTTACCCAGGACAGCTATCAACCCATCTGTGGTTCTCCATCACTGATAGCCTCCGTATTCTCCTCCCCTTCTTCTCTTTTCCTCCTCCCCTTCCTCTTTTTCTCCCCTTCCCTTCCTCTTTTTCTCCCCTCCCCTTCCTCTCTTTCTCTCCCAGCTCCACCTCCTCTTCTACTGCCTAATCACGGAGCTCCACTGTGAATACAATGTAGCAGAATAAGTATCCTGCTACAGCTTTATCATAGGAATCAGACGATTTCCCCATTTGACACAAAGGCGTTTCCACTGGGATAGTACTTTTTATCATGGTTTTAATGGCTGCTTGGTGACTCATTAGCACTTGCTTTCTATCTCAAGATTTTAACAATATTTGCTATACATCTTCTTAGTTCACATTAACATTCAAATATAATTATTTCTGTATTATGCAAATTTGCTCTTATATTCATGAATATATATGCTTATGTGTATACATTACAAATTTTAAAAGCGGATGAAATTTGTACATAATTCAGAAGCAACGGTAGAAAGGCCCTGAATTATTATTGATCTTGTTCTATCATAGATAACCTAATTCAGCCTTTAAGCTGGCTTCATTCTGAGCATGTCACATTGTTTGTCTGATCTAACTATTGATTTATAAATTTGTACATAAAATTGGAATAAATGCCACATAGAAGAAGGAAATGAGCCAGGCAGTGGTGGCGCATGCCTTTAATCCCAGCACTTGGGAGGCAGAGGCAGGCGGATTTCTGAGTTCGAGGCCAGCCTGGTCTACAGAGGGAGTTCCAGGACAGCCAGGGCTACACAGAGAAACCCTGTCTCGAAAAACCAAAAAAAAAAAAAAAAAAAAAAGAAGAAGGAAATGAGGGAAAATTGATATCCATCCAGTGGAAACAATTTGTATTAAAACCCACCCATAGGCAACAATAAATGTATATATACTGGAATAGTGGTGTGGAATTGGAATTATTTTGGGACCCTGTATCTCAAATGTGTTGGTGGTGTTATGGTGAATGTACCTGCCCTCTTAGCATCTCAGGTGTTTAGGAATTCATTGCTAAGTTCTTTGTTAACAGTCACTATGGATTCATTTTCCAGCTAGTACACAATAGGAGACACAGTAATGTTTGTTGGAGGAAAAAGGCTCAAGTGTAAGAGATGTGAAATTTTGACTTTTGGCTCTCCCAACAACTTGAAATATAGCAAATAGCAGTGAACTTTCAAGCTAATCTGCAGAGCCTTGAGATCATTGTGCTTTGTCTGTATTTGTGTGTATTTCTGTAGCCATGGTGCTTCACTTTAAGGCTCTCTTGATTCCTTCTGTGTTTATCAATTGGTAGACCTTTCAGGAAGCCATTCCCATTGCCTGAGTAATTAAGGACGGTATTTCTAGGATCTAGACTTAGGGTGTTGTTTCTATGATACAAAACACCTTTACAGACATTTTTAGATACTTTAAACAAAAATTTGGCACATGAGATAGATGGACTATTGTTCAGACAGCAGGGTTTTACAGAACGCGTTTTGCTTACAGGTATGTACACGTTTGTGTCCCTGAGTTATTCCTGATAAGCAACCCTAGGGTCTTCCCTCCCTGATTACATTTGCAAATCTCCAACTACTTCCCCACCTAAGCCATGAGCATTTGTGGGGGTGGGAGTGGGGGTGGGGTGGGGAGAGTTGGTTGACTTCTGCTAGAAACTTCAGTGCAATGGCCACAGGAAACACAGCAGTGCTAGCAACAGTGCCAAGGATAGCCCATTGACTTTCAGATGACAGTGCCAAGGATAGCTCATTGACTTTCAGATGACAGTGCCAAGGATAGCCCATTGACTTTCAGATGACAGTGCCAAGGATAGCTCATTGACTTTCAGATGACAGTGCCAAGGATAGCTCATTGACTTTCAGATGACAGTGTCAAGGATAGCATGTCAGACAGTATTGCATTTTGCCTTTTTTTGGAGGGGCTTTTATTTTTACTTTTCCTCTTTGGTCATTATGTTTTTAGGATCTCCCCAGAGTCCTCCTTCTCCATCAGTTGGCGAAGCAGGAAGGTGCTTGGACCATCCTTCCCTTGTTACCACAGTAGGTACCTTTGACTCAACTGTGTCAATCATTGGCATTTGGGCCCCCATACTCTGGTACTTCTTAGGAAGGTTTTTCAAATTATTAAGAGGTTGTGTGTTTCCTGAGATGGTAAATGGATTAAATTTGAGTTTTATATTTTGTGATTACTGTATGAACTAGATTTTTTTTCGTGATTGATTCTTAATTATAATTAGTTTTGCTTACTATCGTTAAAAAATGATTTATTTTAGTTTATAGGTATGAATGTTTGCCTGCTTGTGTATATGTGCACTACCTGCATGTAGTACCCACAGAAGCCAGAAGAGGGCGTGGAATCACCTGGAACTGGAGTTATAGATGGTTGGGAGCTGCTATGTGGGTGCTGGGAATTGAACCCAGGTCCTCTGCAAGAGCAGCCAGTGCTCTAACCACTGAGCTACTGCTCTATCCCCAAAGTTTTTTACTTTTTAGATGTTTTTTTTTTTTAAATGATAAAATGCTTCAAACTTACACTTGAAGTTGTTCTTCTAAATTGTTGTTATTATGGGCAGAATGAATTATGAGAACTCTCACCATCTAGAGACTGGTGGTCCCTGGCTTTCTTCTCAGTTGAAGCTGAGATACACAGCAGTAATATGTGGAGTGTGCACAGCAGACACCTTGCCTTCTTACCATCCACCATCTCCTAGATACTGGATTCAACCTTACTCCTCCACTGCCTAAGATAGACTATGTACCATGAATTCGAGTGCCATAACCCATGTCTTCCCGTCAGCTTCTCTGTAACGTACAGCAAGAACTCAGCGTGGATTTTCTTCTGTGAAGAAGAGACGAGAATACAGATCCCCAGACTCCTCCAGACCCTTAGACGATATGACCCATCTAAGGTGCGTATGACTTCAAAACCATGCTTTGACTTCGGGGACAATGATTCAGAGAAAACGTAATTGTCATTAAGAGATTTTTGAAATAGTAGCTTGAGTTTGGAAAGCATTGTGGTGAAATTCTCTGAGGTTGGCAGCTTACAGAGAAGATAAAAATAAACCCTTCTCTGCAGGGAAAAAAAAGTGTATTTATCTGTGTTGACAATGTAAGGAAGTGAAAAACCATAGCAAAAGCAGTAACAGCATCAGCATCATCATTGTCAACAGCGGTAACAGCAGCAGCAGCAGCAGCAGCAGCAGCAGCAGCAGCAGCAGCAGCACACCTTTGTAGAATCATTGACCAATTTTCTACAGGAATAAAATTAAATTGGCTGTCTTTCCTCTTCAGAAAAAAACACATATATAACACACAGAAGTATTTTTATTTATTTATGTTTTATTATCTTATGTGTGGTGATGTTTTCCATGCATATATGTATGCATATGTAACTAATGTCTGTGGAATACAGGCCATGCTGCTGGTGCAGAAACAAGAGCTGCATAGCACTCATCAGTGGACTGCTTTTGTAAGCGGCGTGGTCCACCGCTGTGATAAAACCCGCTGGTATTGATGAGTGTTAAGCGTTGGAAGCATCCATTGTGGCTTCTTTCTGTTGACTTCTGAGAAGCCACAGATGTAACTGGATGGGAAGCCCATTAGGTAGGAGAGGGGATACAAACACGTTTCCCCCAGTCCTCCCAGACGGTGCCAGCCGCAGCTACAGAGCTTGTTGTTGCTGCGTTTTTTGTGAACCATTGATGAGACTTTCATGTTTCCTTCTGACTTGTGGGAGACCCCTAAATCTTCTTTTTCTTTTGAATGTTGGAGTTGCAACCTCTTTCCCAGTGTCTGCTCCACCTGGGGACTATTGTCTCCTCACCCGTGGTTCTAATTCTGCAGGGGAGATGGTGACTCACAGTGACTCTCGAAGGAAGTCGGGATGATAAATGGAGAAGTTCAAAGGGAGTTCGTGAGAAGCAAGTTCAGATTGGAGGCGAAAGGAGACGTTTGCCTTTCCTTTCTGAACTCCGCTGTGTGGAGAAAATAAAATCTGAGATGTTTTATTTCTTTTGAAAGTAGAATGACAGAATACAGGTTACATAATGTTGAGGTCAGTTCAAACCAGTGGGGCTTTTTTCCCCCTCTACTGTTTGAAATCTTAGGAGGAAAAGAAGGTCAGTGCTGACACAAAGAAGCCACACTGAGATAATAGCTGTGCCTTGCATTGGGAACTGACTGACTGGGGATTTTGATTCTGACACTGTCCTCTCTGTCTCCCAAGCATCTGTGCAAATGCAAACTTAGGTCCTTGTTCAATGTTTTTAATGTATAAGTTTAATAGTTATTGAAGTGATTGATCTCGGTTCAAATGCCTTCTTAACTGGCTTCTGTAAATCTCCTATATCTTGTTTGAGCTTTTCCACCCCATAGTATGCCTTTAACATCCGTACAGCTGATAAGGCATATTAACTTTGATTTATTTTTCATAGCAATGAGACATGGTGCTGGTTAGGAGTAGTCCTTGTAGAATACCACTGGTTATTTTTACCAGTTTTACCTCTTATTGTCCTTTCCACGGAGCCACTAAGAAAGCCATTATAGAGGAAGATGTATGGCTCTTTCCAGAGTCTCCGTTGAGTTCTTCCTTCAGATAGTTTATGACCTCAATAAAAATATGAATAGGCAGTCCTATGTGCTTTATAATAGCTGGACACTGTAATTAGGAGATAAAGTATGATGATATGTTTTGCGTCAGTGTTGGCCCAGAAGGTTCAGGTGCTGAAAGCTCCGTGAGAAGGGATGGGGAGGTTGGAAGAGGGGAACTTCCGGGTCTGGGATCGGCCCTTCCGGTCCCTCCTTCCATTGTTTCCTGATATCTTCCAGCAGCCGTTCTGTGTTTTTCTTGTGTTTGCTTTTTCTCGGTGGCTCTGGGTGTCTGAGCCAGACCGTCCTGTGGTGGCTGGATGTTTTTCATTGCACTTTGAACACAGATAATATTCCTGCAGTACGAGAAGCCCAATCTGGTCCATTTGCCTCTTTTCCTATCAGGTTCCCCTGCACCTACTGTGTGCCAGACACGTGGGATTTCCTTACCATTGATGATTTTAGTTCTTCCGTCGCGGGGACTTCGGTGCACTAACTGCATTTACTGTTCTTCCTCAGATTCGGTTTTATTCCCCCCACCGTGAGCTTCTTGATATTATCTCACCGCTGTTGTTTGTCTTAAGAGGTTTTTCTTTCTTTCTAGGACAGGCTTCCTCAACCCCCAACCCCGGATCGGTTGTTGCACCTCCTTTAGTTTCTATCCCCCCACCCCCATTGTACAAGCTGCATCCCTGAACGTTATAGGCTTTTGATAAATATTGAGCGAACGAATGAATGAATATAACTCTAGAAGGAACTTTTCAAAGATTTATTTTAAACCTCTGTGGTTGGAGCTGGAGAGATGGCTCAGGGGTTAAGAGCGCTGGCTGCTCTTACAAAGGACCTGTGTTTGAATCTCGGCATCCACATGGTGCCTTACAGGCATCTGTAACTCCAATTCCAGGAGATCTTATGCCGCCTTTTAGCCACTGCATGCATGCAGGCAAAAACCTTATTCCCATAAAATATAAACAAGTAAGTCTTTTATAAGAAACTCAATAGTTTCCTTCGTCTTAATATTCTTATATGGAGTATTCTATAAAAATACCCTTCAGACTGGAGAAAGGGGTAAAGGCACCTGTAGCCAAGCCTGACTGTCTTAAGTTTCAATGCTAGGACCCACAACTGCTCTCTTACACACACACACACACACACACACACACACAATTTAAAATTAAGAAAAATTCTTATGTTTATGGCACACATCTATCTGCACATATAAAAATTTAGGCAATAAGAGGGTTTTTGAAAATTAAAACAAAATCTTATATTATGGTGTAATGATAGCTAGTGTTTTGTTTACACCATTGATCTGATCTTGAGTTACTTCTTAACTATAAAGATTGTGTTAGGTTTATTATTATATTCATGTTAATTATATTTTCATTTGGATTCTACAGAAACATAATTTATGTTAACTTTATCTCCCAAGATATTTAGTTGACTAATTCTGCTGCTGCAACTTTGCTTTTGGCCTTACAATTAAGTGGCTTTTCAAGAATTTCATTTTATCTTTGCATTTAACAGGAATGGTTTTTAGGAAAAGCACTGTACGATGAAGAATCAACAATTATCCACCATTACGCCTTCTCTGAGAACCCAACAGTCTTTAAGTATCCCGACTTCGCTGCTGGCTGGGCTCTTAGCATGCCGCTTGTGAATAAGTAAGAATTCAGTAGACATTTTGGGGAGTGTGTGATATTTCACTGATTTTGGAAACTGATGGCTCATTGATTCTTGGATGTGTCTTCAGCCAGAGGTGGTCTGAAGGAATGGGAAAAAGTGACAGAGAGCCAGACAGGACGTTTTTACCTCAGCACTGTCCCTTACAAAGTCCTACAGACAGACCTCTTTCTACTTCCTAGGAGTTTCTGGCAAAATGAAGTGACTAATAAGTCATCAGACTAAGAGAGGAGACCAAAGGGCCAGAGAACTTGGAGGAATCATGTGATTTGCGGGGATTGGAGAAGTGTTGAAGTAACTACTTAAAAGTGGCTTCCAGTCAGGCCGACTATCTAAGCTGCAGTGGCTCTGCCTAGCTTAGTGCCATGTTTCTCTGCCGGAGGCCACATGCACACAGCAGCTAGAAATGGCCAGCCAGAAACACCAGCCCTGTCACCCACTAGATGCCAGCGTGGGAGATGGCTCTGCCAATCTTCCATGCTGTCTCCACAAGGCTGGGCATTGCCCAGACCATCCCGCCATCCATGCGAGCCTGGTAGAAAAAATGAGACTCTAATGCTTAAAGATTAATCAAAGACTTTATATGTTTGGTAAAGCTCAATAACAATATGCCCATACAAAGAGGGTTGTTTCCCAATTAGCTAACCTAAATAAAAGTAGTTACCCACACTGCTTTCCATACCTGCATGGCTTTCCATCCTCCTACATTTCTGCTCTCTCTAGCTCCTCCTCTTCCTCTCCTAACTCCTCCCACCTTAGCTCCTCCTACAGAGAGAATGCTAATTAAGGGAATGAATATGCAGATGCAGCTCAGGCCACTCCTGAAAGCTCTCTGGGTAGTCAGTGGTATCTGTCCTATGCATAGCTGCATCGTGCCCCCCTTCCCCCCTCCCCCAGCTGTAAGAAGAGTGAAGCTGACCTAGTTCAGCTGAGGAGAAATATGTCATTTTCAGATTTTTGTTAGCTTGCCTTAATTATGCACCTTGTTTTTCTTTGGACGATGGAAGGCTGGAAAATGCAGCCTTTGTATCATCAGAGGTGGGCCGTGGTGGTTGGACATTCGCCATATGAATTCACAGCTGTCCTAAACACCTGTGTGACTCGGGTCACGTGTGGTAGTTTTGTACACTGTAACTATGCTCTGTCCCAGTATCGATGGCACAGCTGCCTCAGGGACATAACTCAGTGGCAGAGCGATTACCCAGTCTGCACAATTTTAATTTAAATTGTCGTTTGTTGGCCACTACCGAGTTGTGAAGAGCAGACAGCATCGAGAGCAGACATTGGGCACCATGTTTCTCTGTCTTTTGGGGGGTCTTCTGGGAAATTCTAGGAACTTTTTGAACTTCACACAAGATAAGCTCTCGGCCTAGAGCTTTTAAGTTAAATTTAGTTGCTAAGTGGTGCACACCATTATACACTCTAGTGAGGACCACAAGGTGTTTCAGTACACGTAAGGCTGTTTCAGTCAGGGTATGCAGAGGCTGAGGAGAGGCCTTGGAGGTTGAGAACACTGGCTGCTCTTACAAAGGATCTAGGTTTGATTGCCAGCACACACGTGGAGGCTCACAACCATCTCTAGCTTCAGTTTCCGGGGATCCAGTGCCATCTTCTGGCCTCTGTGGGCCCTCACTGCACACACACACACACACACACACACACACACACACACACACGATATGCTCACATCGATGTACTCAAACGCTCACACACATAAAGTACAAAGAAATGTATGAATCAGGGAGTGCACATTTGTCTTCTCAAACTTGATTATCATTTGTGGTGAGAGCGTCCACACTCCTTTCTTCTAAGCATTTTGAAATTATTACAGTACATAATTATGAGGTTTTATTTGCAAAGCTTACTTTTACTATAGAGTTTTAAAATGTAAAATAAGACACCCATTGCAGTTTCTTCCCCTTCTTGTCCTCCCAGCCTCCCTTCCCCCCAGCTTTTCAGAAAAGGACAGGTCTCCATGGATACCAACCAGCCGTGCCATACCAAGTTTCAGAGAGACTGGGCACCTCCTCTCCTATCAAAGGCTACACCAGGCAGCCCAGTAGGGGGAAAGGGTCCCAAAGGCAGGCAACAGAGTCAGAGACAGCCCCTGCTCCCCTTGTTAGGAGTCCCACAAGAGGGGCTGGAGAGATGGCTCAGTGGTTAAGAGCACTGACTGCTCTTCCAGAGGTCCTGAGTTCAGTTCTTAGCAACCACTTGGTGGCTCACAGCGATCCGTAATGGGGCCTGATGCCCTCTTCTGGTGTGGCTGAGGACAGCCACAGTGTGCTCATATACATAAAATAAAATCTTAAGAAAAGAAATTAAATGACTAGCATACACAGCAAATTTACCATTTTTAGGTGAAACTAATATAACTAAGTCTCCTTAAGTATCTGATATCTGTTCTCAGAGCCTCTTGTCTCTTTAAAACATGCAGGCTTTTTGCTGGCTTGACTCTAAAATTAAACGTGCTACATTTTACAGTATTTTGATGACCTGATGGGATGTTTCCCGTTGGTATTCCCGTTCAGGAGCCTCACTCTTGTCCCCCTTGGCACCTTGTCAGATGTTTTGCCTCATTCTAACGTGTTCTAATGTGTGGAGGGCCTAGGTCAGTCCCATGCAGGCTCTTTGGTTGGCGGTTCAGTCTCTGTGAGCCCCTGTGGGCTCAGGTTAGTTGATTCTGTGGTTGTTGTTGTTGTTTTTAATGATGTCCTTGACCCCTCTGGCCCTTACAATCCTTCCTCCTCCTCTTCCTGGGATCCCTAAAGCTCTACCTAACGTCTGACTGTGAGTCTCTGCATCTGTTTTTATCGGTTGCTAGGTGAAGCCTCTCCGATGACAATTGGGCCAGACACCAATCATTAGGAATCATTTCATTGACTTTATTTTTTTCTGTTTGTGTTTTGTTCTCTCCTGGGTCTGTGGGCTATCCAGGATCTGGCTCCTGGCCCTCTGGGCAGTATCAGGGGTGGGCTCCCTCTCATGGCATGGGTCTCAATTATTTATGCTTTTAAAAAGGTTTTGCACATATATACTGTGTACCTATGAGTGTGTGTTGGTGTGTTTGCACATGTGTGCCTGTGGGTATATGGAACCCACTGAACTCATCTGTTGATGAGGGAGACAGCCGGGTGCAGCCTCTGTAGCATCTCCCATCTCCTCAGCTTAAGCATGGTTCCTGCTGGGATAGAAGAGAACCTGAGGGTTTCCCTGTGGTAGCTGGGTGTGTAGATGTCTTAGTCTGGCCTGCTATAACAAAATACTGCAAGCCGGCTCATTTATAAGCAAGGAAGGTGTATGCCCGAGGGTTTGGAGCCTGGGAAATGTCAAGATGAAGGAATTTGTAGTTTCAGTAGCTGGTACAGGCCACCCTCTTGTTTAGTGCTAACACTTCTTCTCTGTGATCTCTGAAGAATGCATAGCTCCCCCAGACTTCTTTTGTGAAGTTACAAACCCCTGGATGATGTCTACTGACCTCCCATCCTCCTAAGAGGAGTTGACTCTGGTCAACATAGAGATGTAAGGGCCACAGATATTCATCAGACGCTGCAGTGAACTATGGCTGCTGGATGTAGAGCCGTGGAATTCAGAAAGCTGCAAGCATGTCCCCTGTAATGCTGGAAAGACAGCGCCAGGTGACTGTGGCATCCAGTGACATCTGCTCCTTGCCACACTGAGTAGCGACCAACAAATGAGAGCTTTAGTCAGTAATCATGGTCTTTCCCCTCCCTCCCTCCTTCCCTCCCTCCTTCCCTCCCTCTTCCCTCCCTCCCACTTTTTTTTCTGCCTGCAAACACAACCAAGTTGTTTTTTTTTTTTTTTTAAATGTGGACTTTGCCATAGTAACAAATTCAAAATCTGGTCTTTTAGACTATATTTTGTCCCTCCCCCACCATGTAGATAAGGAATTTTAAAAAAAGGATAATAAACTCCATCTAGTATAGCAAATATTGGTGGCAAGATTTGTTAAACAGTTATTATTAAATCTCTCCCTCTGTTTGTGTGTGTGTATGTGTGTGTGTATGTGTGTGCGATTCGAGCGTGCACGCAGCAACTGTAGTGATCACTCGTTGAAAGCAGCCAATAGTTAGCAACCTTAAAGAGAACAGCTATTTATTCACCGTAAAGGTTGGAAACACCATGTGAATAGGATGATAACATTTGTTTATGATTTTGAATGCTATTCTGGGTCAGTAAATTCTTCCCTTATAAACTCTGGAAAAAATTTGATTAAGGGGCTGGAGAGATGGCTCAGTGGTTAAGAGCACTGGTTGCTCTTCCAGCAGACCCTGGTTTGGTTCCCAGCACCCACAAGCATTTTATAACCATGTTTGACTCCAGGTCCAAGGGATTCAGCACCCTCTTCTGGCCTCTGTGGGTACTGCATGCAAGTGGCTCACATACATGTAGGCCATGTCCATATAAATAAAATAAATAAGAATTTAAAAAATTGGTTAAGACAAGATGTTCTCCATTCTGCTCCTACACAATGTTGACTAAATGTAGAATAAGCCCTTTGTTAGAGACAGACAGAAGGCACAGGAGGAGGGGTAGGGAATTCATTTAGGCTTGCTCTTGCTCTAATTTTGCCAAAAGGAAGACTCTCTTTTCTTTGATGTGTTTGTTCTGACAGGCTAGTGAAGAGCAGCTTTCTAGGAAAGGTTTCTCGGCTTAGTCTTGAAAACAAAAAGTTAAAACTGGGTGTAGAGGACTGGCGGAGGCATGTGTGGGAGGGGTGTGCTCCAGGGAGCACGGGGGGGGGGGGGGGGGGGCTTAAGACTCTAGATGCTGGTTAATGCAGAACTTCCCAGTAGTGTGGGTCTTTCTTCTGGGTGAGAAAGGAACCATGGGAGAATCTTTTTGTCTTCCTTCCAAGCCATGTACTTTTATCTTAAAATTTATATTTTGTTCAGTTATTAGAAATTTTCATGAACCTGTTGCTGTTGTTTGACAGTTCTTTTGCTCTAAAAACAAACAAGCAAACAAACAAAGGACTGTCTCTGTTTCCAGGCTTAACAAGAGATTGAAGAGCGAGCCGCTGAAGTCTGACTTCACAATTGATTTAAAGCACGAGGTAGGTCATGATTGATTGATTAGGGCTTAGTGATAAATCGTCGGTAAGTTGAGCTCAGTGGTTGCTAGGACAGTCATGACTGTTGCCACCGACTCTGTAACAAAGGAAAATAGTCATGTATTTTGATGCAGATGTTGTGTCTTCTATTTTATATCCCATAATAGTGCCTTTCCCCACATCCCTTCATGTTCTCCCCACTGAGATAGTTTCACCAAAGTAGGTGGAGAAGGATTGGGGGTAGGGGAAGGTTGAGTCTCATGATTCATGAGTCTTTGCTTTTTTAGGTAGGTAGATGGGTCTGGAGGTGAGTGTTTAAAAGCATGCCAAAATGAAATTTTAATTGATTGTTTGGGACTCTTACATTATGCACCCTGATCATACTCATCTTCAAATCTTCCCATGTCTGTCCCCTCCCCCCCCCTAAAAAAAAACCTGTGTGTATGCATGTGTAACTGTGTATGTGCAGTACCCACAGTGACCAGAAGGGGGCATCAGATCCCCTGGAATGGAGCTACAGGCAGTTCTAAGTCACTGTTGGGTGATGGAAACCGACCCCCAGTACTCTGCCAGTGCAGAAAGTGGTCATAGCTGCTGAGTCACCTCTCTAGCTCAAATAGTGGTCTCTTGTATTAATTATTATTCTCTCTTGATTGTGAGTGTCTGCTTGGCTCCTGGTTTACACTGTGATAGTGATTGTTTCTGTGAACATTTTGGACATGTGTCATAATTATCTGTGAGAGTTCCTCTATTGCAGATAATTTAAAACTTTTTTTTTTGAACTTCAACTTACTTTAAAAAAAATACATTTTCTCTTTTCAGGCTGGGCGGGTGGCTCAGTTGGTAATATGCTCATTGTATTAGTGTGAGTATCTCTGAGTTCAGATCCTGCACTCACAGGAAATGCCTGGGATAGCAGGCAATTCCAATGCTGGGAGGCAGAAACAGGCAGACTCCAGGAGCTTGTCTCCAGCAAGGCCACACCTCCTAATCCTTCTCAAGCAGTTCCACCAACTAGGGAGCAAGCATCCAGACATAGGAACCTGTGTGGACTGTTCTCATTCAAAGCAACACAGTGTTTCCAGGTCACCGCTGGTGACTCTGGGAATGGAGCTGAGGTCTCATTCCTTGTGTTACTTTCTGTGCACTTTAGTGGTTTTACCTCAAAGCACTTTAGTGGTTTTTGTTTGTTTGTTTTTTGTCATCTCTGGAATTTTTTGTTTGCATGTATGAATATTGATTCATGGTTAACTGTTTATAACTTATGAAGCATCAGCTCAATCTATGTGGTGGTACCATTTTTTAAAAAAACTGAGGAAAGTTTCTGTTGAATATTAATATATCGACACAGTTCAACCTAACACAGTTTCTAGGATTTGTGTCCCGCTGCTCCCTGGGACATTTTTATATCTGTGGCTTTCTCTTAGCTCTGTCCTCTGCACCACTGTCTTATCTCGAGCTAGATTGCCCTCTACATCTGGGACAAAGGTGGAGGACCGGCCCTCACCCCTGTGCCTGAGTTTTGTACGGAAGACGTGGACCCCCGTTGTGTCACCACGTTCTATTCTTTCCTGCCGCTCTGTGTAAGTGAGAACAGCTTCCTCCTGGACCAGAGGAGGATGTACATATTGTGTGCGGAACATTTACTTGTGGACATAACATTATCCCGGTAATTTATGTATTTAAACATAAGCCAGCTTTTGCTCCAAGCCAGGCCGCAGCCATATGCCTTATGCCTTCTAGGTAAGTACTGTTGCTATTCCCGTCTTCCGTATCTAGAGGGATGCACGGAGAGTCAGTGTTCCTGGACCTAAGTCTGCTAACCACTCAGAAGCCAGAGCCCGGGAGAGAAGAGCTAGAGGGAAACAAGTGGGTCCCGGGAGGGTTAGTGTGGAGCACCAGGAAGCAGAAAGCATTGTCTCCCAAAGAGACTGTCTCAGGGAAAGCTGGTGTGTGTGTGACAGGGTTTGTGGGCAGGAAAAGGAGGAGTGCAGTGGCCAGAAAGAGTATGTGCGCTGAGTAGGGCCTTTGTTGTGTAAGGCCTGCCCCTCTGTCCTTATACCCTGCTTCCTGTCTTTCCCCTCTGCTCTTTTCTTTCTGCCCTTCCCTCTCTCCCCTCTTCCCTCCCTTCTCCTTCCAAGTCCCCCTCCCTCTCTCCCTACCCTTCCCCTCCTCCTCCCTCCCTCTCCCCCTCCCTCAATCCCTCCCCTTCCCTCCACCATCCATTCTTCCTCCCTTCCTCCCCCTCCCCCTCCCTCCCTTCCCTTCCTTCCCTCTGAATACCCCTCCTTCCTCCCTCCCTCCTCCCTCCTCCCTCCCTCCTCCCTCCCTCCCTCCTCCCTCCCTCCCCCATCTCCAGTGCCACATTAGCAGTGATGTGCTCTCCCACCACTGCTCACAACCGTGTCACAGTCTTTTATATATGCTTTGCATTTTAAGAATAAGGAAGTAAACTAATCTGCACATCCTGGCTTTACTTGAGGATCTCCAGATGTTCTGGAAATTCAGAGAAAGACCACAGTTGTAACTACTTAGCCATGGCCTTTCCAGATTAAGAAGCCAAGGAAGGGAAGTTCTGCCTAGGTCCACTGAAGGAGCGGCCCGAGGTGATAGGCACTTGGTTTCATTCCTTAGAAAGGCTAGTGCAGCCATTTCCTGTGACACACAAGGCCTGCCCATGGGCCTGCGCCCCCCCACCCCTCACCCCTCAGCAGGTGATCTTGCTTTTGGTCTCACCTGGCACAATTCAGAATCTCCCGGGACAGACATGAAATCTTCATGGCAGATCTATGTTCCGTTCCCACTATGACCCTGAAGGCTCTGAAGCTTACTAGATCATAGACCTTTCGTTTTTTTTGTTTTTATTTTTTTCTCCTCATAAATGAAATATATTCTATAACCTCATATAGTGTGTGTTGTTCTCAGGTCAGTTATTGTGTGTGCCATCTTAAACACACATTGCACACATACACACATACTACACACATATACACACACTGCATACACACACTGCACACACACATACTGCATACACATGTTCACACACTGTACACAATACACTACATGCACATGTACACACACTGCACACACACACACACACACACACACACCTTATAGTGTGACAATAGAGGGACTTGTAATATTTGCAGTTCCCAATGGACAACCAATCTTTCTAGACCTAAACCCTATTTGCTTTGCCACGCTCTTGGTATCTTGAGTAATAAGTACACCGGTATGAACCAAACTCAACCTCTAAGCGGTGGCATCACTGTGACTCTTATCACAGTCATATAAGGAGACGTAAAGAAGGGGTGTTCTAGTTTGCTTATTGTTGCTGTGACAAACTGAATAAAGGAAAGTGGGGGAGGGAAGGGTTTACTTGGCTTCCCCATCCCCATCACAGTCCACCACGGAAGGAAGTCAGGGCAGGCACTGGAGGCAGGCACTGAAGCAGAGACCGTGAAGGGACTCGGCTTACTGGCTTGCTCTCCATGGCTTTCTCAGCCAGCTTTTAAATACAAACCAGGGTCACTTGCCCAGGAGTGATGCCGCCCATAGTGGGCTGAGCCCTACATCAGTGTTTAAGGGAGAGAGTGTCCCACTCCAGGCTGATGGAAGCAAACCCTCAATTGAGAGGCCGACTTCCCAAGTGACTCTAGTTTCTGTAAAGTCGACAAAAAGTATAACCAGTAAGTAGGGTCAGAGCTGACCCGAGGGAGGAGCTGAAGGTGTACCCTGACATCAAATCCCTCTGTGCCGCCTTCAGCCTGTGTGAGCTTCCTCCCACCAAGGGTTTGAAGCAGAGGACAGAATATCCGTAGCCTAGACTCAAGTAAACAGTAAAGAGTCATGTATGACTTCCAGCTCCACATGTGGCCAGACCCAGAGAAGCAGACATCTCCCGCTTGCATGAGGTCATCTTCTGTTCTTCTCCCTTTGTCAAAGTCTCCGCTAGCTGAGCACGTGTATAGACAGTGACTCATATTTGTTAGTTACCCACCACGTGCTTAGTAAGTTAGCCACGACAGCAGCCTTCTGGTGACTGTCAGTCCTGATCTCTCAATCATCAGGGCAGCCCAGAGAGTGGAAGGGACTTGTTAGTATGTAACTCATAGTCTGTAACTGCTGAGCTGGGGTACGGGTGCAGGCCTGAGCTGGGGTACGGGTGCAGGGCTGAGCTGGGGTACGGGTGCAGGCCTGAGCTGGGGTACGGGTGCAGGCCTGAGCTGGGGTACGGGTGCAGGGCTGAGCTGGGGTACGGTGCAGGGCTGAGCTGGGGTACGGTGCAGGGCTGAGCTGGGGTACGGTGCAGGGCTGAGCTGGGGTACGGGTGCAGGGCTGAGCTGGGGTACGGTGCAGGGCTGAGCTAGGATTCAAGTCCAAGGCTGAGCTGGGATGAAAGTTTAGGCTTGGGAGGGAGATAGGTTCAGGGCTGGACTCACATAGCTCCAGGGCCGAGCTGGGAGGCAGGTTCTGTGCTGCCTGACTCCAGAGCCTACACTATCAGTTTTCCTACACATCCTCTCTCATCCCTAAAACTACCATGGAAATAGATATCTATGGCATTGCTTAATTTTATATTTAAGATCTACTGTGGGCATGAAGTCTGGGTAATACTGCAAATGTATGTAACAGTTTTTTTTTTTCTTTCTCTCCCCTACTCCCACCTTTTAGGGAATACCAGTAAAGAAGGAGGAGATTTTTGTTGCAGTCAAAACATGCAAGAAATTTCATGCTGACAGAAGTATGTTTGGGGCTTTTTACTTTCCTTGAACTTTTGAGATCCCAAATGTCTTTTGAAACAATGCAAGCCAGGTGCAAATTCAAGACGAGAGATGATGCTTGTGGGGAAAGACGCTGTTTGACCAGGGTTCCTCGCTGGGCCACGCCAATCCCCAAGATCACTTAGGAGAGGTGATTTTATAGTAGCCATAGCTCTTCTGAAGACTGTTGAGATCAGCGCCTTAAATTGAAAATGGTAGACTCCGCTGTGGCAGCCTCGGAAATGGTGTGTGGGCAAAAGTCTGGTCCGTAAAGGGTCCTGCTGTATGGAAACCACCAGCGGGGTTTCCAAAGAAATACAATACCAACAAAGACAATCCCCTTTTACATTTATGTCCTGTGCACACATTGGTACTTTTTAATGAAGAGTCACAGGTTTGCTCATTGAATGTTTGTATTGGAAAAGAGAAAAAAGTCACCTTAGAGACAGTGGCGTGACTTACAGAAATGCCGGGCTGCAGATTTCTGGTGTCTCCTTATAGAAAGAAGTTTGTTAGGTACAGGGATAATGTTAAAAGAAAAGGCCCGTCCTGCTGTAAATGGGCACAATTCCTCTTTTTCCATCTCATTTGAATCAGCACTCTGCTGATGCTCAGAGCTGGACGTTTTTTTGTAATGGTCTCCATTTAGCATTTCTGTTTTTCCTTGTGAAGACCGTTCTCACAGGGCGTGGCCTGAACATAGGGAGCTTCCTAACGCAGCTGGCATGGTCCTGGGATTAGGGTGCTGGGAGATTTGTGTGTGTATTTTATGTAGTAGCACAGTCTGAATAGGTTATATTTTAAGGGAGAAGATATTTTAAAACAAAAGACTATTCCAATTTGAATTTATAGGGTCACCTATGACATATCAGCAATTAAAACCCAGTAAAAGTGGAGTTAATCATATGTTGCTAGGTTTGACCAGATTGGTCATGTCAAATCCCAAATCCTATTAAAGGTGACTAACTAAATCTATGTATTTATTATACAAGGGGGCCTACAGTTAAGAGTCAATGAAGACATTTAAATAAGATTTTTATTTATTATAAATTTAACCTAAATTTAATATCAGGCAGGGCTTTTTTTGGGGTGACTTTGGAAAATATCTTTGAGGGGCTGGAGACATTAAGGGCACTGGCTGCTGTTGCAGAGGACCTGTGTTCAGTCTTCAACACCCACATAGTGGCTCACAACTGTGTAACTCCAGTTCCAGGGGTTCTGGTGCCCTCGTCTGGCCTCCACGGGCACTGCACACACACCATGCACAGTCATATAGTAAAAATAAATCTTTAAATGTTTTTTAAAAAGGTGGTAGGAAAATGCACTAGATTTTCTTTTCTTTTTTTCTTTACAGGAAAAATATTTACATTGACTTAGTTGATCTTGAAGCTGTTCTCAGAATAGTGATTATTTTTGCAACATTGATGTTACTAATGTAGACAGGAGGAACACAATTTTCAGATGATAATGAAATGAAAAATTAAAGGTTCAACTTGTTGCATTTTTCACAATCTACATAAATGTCTGTTCATTTTGACCAAGGAACATTGAATAATTTGGTTTCTTTATTTCTTTAAGTTTAAGATGAAAACTTAAAAAGAGATATCTATGAAATGCTTTTATAGTTGAATACAGAGTTTAAACATTTTTTAAAATCACAAAATCTCAAGCATTCATCTCAGATCTGAGGTGACTGGGACTTGAGTCCTAGCGGGGGTCTGAAGCTTTCCAGTGCGGGTTTCTGCAGCCTGTCCTTAAACTTTCCTGCACTCATTAGTGAAGACGGCTGCTTTTTAGATTGGTTCCTCTTTTTGCTGGGTGGACACAAAGCCTGCCTGCCCACTGGGCTCCACAGTCTCCTTTGAAACTCTAGTCTAGCACGGGAGAGATGACTCGGGTTAAAAACACGCACTTCTCTCCCAGAGGACCTGTGTTCGGTTCCCAGCTTCCAAGTCAGTCAGTTCACAATCACATCTAACTCCAACTCCAGGGGATCTGACACCTCTGGCTCTCATGTGCACTTACACACACACACACACACACACACAAATTAAAGATAATAAAATAGCTTGTTAAAAAAGCCTAATCCAAACACCAGTTGGCCCAAGAAAACTGATCAGTTATCCTATTAGTGGCTGACAGTACCATGTGCCTGACATTGTGTGTGTGTGTGTGTGTAAACAACCAATCTAATCATAACTGGACCATTCCTCATGCTATGGCAGTACTGTGATCCCCTTGATTTTGTAGAGAGTGCTGGGGAGAACAGTACCCAGCAGACCCACATTCCATGGCCTCTTGTTAACTGAAATGTGGGGAGCCTTGCTACAATCACCGAATGTTATCAGGGTAATCAGGGTCACCTCTTGGGATTCTTAGTCTCATTAAAAAAAAAAAAAACCATTAAGAACAGACTTAAATAGAAACTTCAAGGCAACTTAATTAGAGTTTAAAAGAAACACTCTGAAGCAGGGAAACCATAAGTCTTGACAGCTGCCCAGATGTGGGACATGGCCCACATGAAGGAGTCCATGGGTTTGAGTTAAGCAGGCATGGAGACACAGGGCTTTAAGAAAAGCCGGAGACATCCAGAGTCCCAGAGAAAGCATACTTGGGCTCCGGCCAGCATCTGGAAAAAGGAGAACAGTAAGTAGGTAAGGATAAGTCACTTTTCTGAGGATGGACACACCCAGCAGAAACTTCTAGGGAGGCACGGGGGATGGGGGGGGGCAGGAATTCTGGGAAAGATTGAACCTGCTTTCCTGAGAGTTGGTCTGTACCTGTCCAATCAGAGGAGGCAATGGCATGTCTCCACTCAGAGATAGATCCATGATTTACTTATTTATTTTAGGCGTAGAGGCATTTGTTTGTGGACCGAGCACATGCCCTGTGCCTGTGGAGGTCAGAAGAGGGCATCAGGTCCCCTGAAACTGGAGTTAGGATGATGTAAGCCGCTGTGTGGGTGCTGGGAGCTGAACACAGGCAAGAACAACCAGAGTTATAACACCCCCCTACCCCCACCCCGGGCCTTCTCTCCTGCCTCAGGTACGCTCCATTCTTTTGGTCAGGAGGTAGTAGCTTTCCCTTAGGGAGCCTCCGGTGCTACTCCATTGAGCCAGGAGGCCGGACTGGGGCTCTATACTTGGCTATATTTCAGACCTCAGTTGATAAATTGTCTTCGCTTTTTATGTTGATGCCTGACCATGCTCAAGGTCAGTTGGAAGTTGGACAGGAGCTGCACAGGTAGATTTTTCCTTTTCAGAAGCAACAAGGAAGGATAGCAAGGAGCTGTGTGAGACCCGCAACACACACTGGGTGGGGCCTAGGCAGATGGAATTACTGTCTGAACAGAATTCACAGATTGGGACTGGTGTTCCTTTTTTCCTGTTCTCTGGGGTAGAAGACCTTGAAGGAACAAAGGCCAAATTGCAGTGAAGGGGAAGAAAAATAAAACAAACAAGAAAGTATATTTTTTAAAAACTGAGAGTGGGCCTTACTGTTACCTGGTTCATGACCTCCCATCACCTCTGTGGAAGAAGACAGAATGTCAAGGGTTAATGCATGCGGAATTCATATTTTATGTCACCACAATGGATTGATAACAAGACCGAGTTTGAATAGCTTAAACTTTTTTACTTGTATCCCTAACCACGAAAGAGCAACGCTGCTACCGAATTTGCCTGGATTCCGACAGAAACAGATTAGAAAATTCTCAGAACGTAGCGAAAAGAATTTAATTTTTTTTATAGGCTCCAGGAAGTAATATATGTTGACACCATTTGAAACATGTGAGTAGGAAAAAGACCCCTGATTTTTAATATGCATCTCAGTGACTTCCTCTCGGGTCCCAGGGTCGCCACTGTGCCACGTGAGCTGTCAGAAACCCTTAAGTGTGTTCTTTTTGTTGCTCTGTGGCGCCTCTGCGTGTCTCACATTCCTAGGGCGGGCAGCTTTCGTCCATCGCATTAGATAGGATGTGATGCTCTTCTATGGGCCCCCTCTAATTAAGAAGATTAAGTGAGACTTCCTCAGCCATTAGTTCTTTTCATAGCTTCATCTGGCCCTTAAAACAAACAATACTCTTGCTTCCAGATTAAAAAAAAAAAAAGACAAAAATCTATTAGCTGTCTTTACTGCTGTGATTGTGTCCGGGGAGGCAATTAGACTATGTTGTAGCTGCCATCTCTGATGAAGGAGGCTGAGGTACAGCGACAACCCAACTTGCTTCTGGTCACACTAGTCAGATGAGGTGATTAATTGACTGAGGGAGCCACGTGCTGCCCTCGCTGGCTGTTGAATGGCCGAACGTGTCACGTGCTGCCCTAGCTGGCTGTTGAATGGCTGAACGTGTCACGTGCTGCCCTCGCTGGCTGTTGAATGGCCGAACGTGTCACGTGCTGCCCTAGCTGGCTGTTGAATGGCTGAACGTGTCACGTGCTGCCCTCGCTGGCTGTTGAATGGCTGAACGTGTCACGTGCTGCCCTCGCTGGCTGTTGAATGGCTGAACGTGTCACATGCTGCCCTAGCTGGCTGTTGAATGGCTGAACGTGTCCCAGATGCTGTTTTTGATCAGACAGGAGGGATACCTTGCAAGCTTAGGGCCACTTAGCAAAAGATGAGGAACTGGCACACGCGTGCGTCCCTAACACTCTTGGGGGAACACAAACACCAGTCAGCTGCCCTTTTTTGGTCTCTGACCAGAGCCTGGAGAAAAAGGTCCATTTGCCAGCTGATAATAGCAAATTCCTCAGAATCCAAATGATCCTTCACTCTTGACTTCATGGCCCGTTCACATCTGATGGACTGAACATTCATAAATTGTTCAGATGTCCCTTGTAACAGGGGACAGGTTTGCAGGTGAACTCTCAGGGGTAAAAATGGGTTATCCTGCTGTCTCTTACAGTGAGGGGGGTCTCACTGACTCTAGAAAGCTCTAAGAAGACTTATGTTACCTGTGCAGCTGGGAGCTCTTCTATTTGAATAATAATCTTTAAAGAATAAACTTTTACTTCACTCCAATTTAAAATGTCTCGGTGGGACGGACAGAGAGAAGGACTCGCTATGGTTTTTCTCCATGATGGAAAGTTTGGGTGTGCAGTGTGCCCCATTGGCCCATATGTTTGAACGTGTGGCCTGACTGAATAGCTTGTGTTCCAGGTTCAGTGATAGGCCTTGCCTAAAAAAAAAAAAGCAGAGAGATAGGTGACAGTCCCCCAAGTTCTCCTCTTGCCTCTGCTGACACGTGTACACGTGTACACACTCACGCACGTGCATGCACACACATACACACAGAATACATTTTAAGTGTATTTAACTTTATGTGTATGAGTGGTTTGCCTGCATGTAGTATATGTACCACATGTACACCCAGTGCCCGAGGAGGCCAAAAGGAGGCATCAGATCCCCTGTAAGTAGAGCTGCAGATAGTTCTGAGTCACCATGTGGGTGCTGGGACTTGAACTTGGGGCCTCTCTATAAGAGCAGCCAGTGTCCTTAATCACCAAGCCATCTCTCCAGCTTCAGATAATCTCTTTAGAGTCTATTTAGGGGAGAGTTAAATGAACTAACCTTTGGGAAGAAGAGACTTGAGTCACAGTTTGTCTAAACAAAGCAGTGTTATCTGACCAACGCCTTGTTACACGGAGGGGAAGCGGGATGTGCACACCAGGAGCCTCGGACAGTAGCCCTTCAACTAGAGTGCTCAGGCCTCTGCTCACCAGAAGGGGGCACTGGCGCTCCCGCGGGTGCAAGCACCTAGGCTTGGGGCACTGAGAAAGAATGTTGCTTCTCTGTGGGGTCAGGCTGCTGATTTGAAATTTTGTTTCTTTCTTTGCCCACGGCTATGATCGTCCCTTCTGTTGTGTGTTCAGTACCCATTGTAAAGAAGACATGGGCGGCACAGGCCAGCCTTATCGAATACTACAGTGACTATGCAGAAACCGCCATCCCTACCGTGGATTTGGGAATTCCCAATACGGACAGGGGTGAGTCCTTAATTCTCCCTTGATTCAAAATCCCCATACTGTAAATGCACGAGTCAGGATAAACTGAAATCTAAATAGTAAGATTTCTTATTTTAGCTTTCTTTTTTCTTTCTTCCTTTCTTTCCCTCTTCTTCCATTGAGCATCTTTACCTGTAGATAGATACTGGCTCTCACTTGGGACTTTGGGTTACACACCGATGCTCTGCAATTTAGGAGGGATGGGCTCCACCCCAGTACGCACAGGTATGAGATAGTTGACCGGCAGGGCTTTCCAGCTCCACACAGTTCCTCCTGGCTGGAATGGGAGGCACCAAGTTACTTTGTCAGCTTCTCACAACAAAGTTTGCATCTTCCAAGTCTGTGGTACGGTTCATCTTTGAATCTCTCTGAGGGCCCGGCGCATTCTGCAGTGCTCCGATACACAGTAAGCAGTATTATAGGCGATACTATTCTGATTAGGATTTGCTGGGAGTCGATCAGGTTGTTTACTAGTGAAAAACATTTGCTTTCAAGAAAGCGTTTGTGTAGCCCAGGCTGGCCTTCAAGCCACTGTGCTGGCCTTGAGTTCTTGATCCTCTCACATCCGCCCCAATGCTGGGCCTATAGACATTGTCTTACTTACAGTTTCTATTACTGTGACAAAACACCATGGCCAAAAGCAACTTAGGAAGGAAAGGGCTTATTTCAGTTTCCTCAGGAGTTGTGGAAGGTTGGTTTCTAGAACCATTATTATTGTGCATGTCAACCTTCAGGCTCTTCTGCCACTTTAAGACTGAAAAAAAATTAAATAAATGCTATGTATTTTAGAGCAAATAATACATTGACAGTTTCTCCTCACCTTCCCTAGGTCATTGTGGAAAAACCTTTGCCATTTTGGAAAAATTTCTGAATCACAGCCACAACAAAATCGCATGGTTAGTCATTGTGGACGATGACACATTAATCAGGTAGGTTCCTTTTGTCTTGGGACTGACTGTGACAGCTATGTCTGCTTCTGGTGACAACAGAGTGGCAGGGATGGGGTGGTCCTAAGATACCAAACATCTGGCAGCACGAAGCAGGTCACCGCCCCGCTGACTGCCTTCTGGCTATGCCAAACCATTGCTTAGGAAGGACTGGCTGGAGCCTACACAGTTTGTGTTAAAGAGATGGGGCTGGGAGTCTCCAGAGACCAGGGCTGCTGTAGGACACAAATAGAAAACAGACAGACAAGCTGGGCAGTAGTGGTGCACACCTTAATCCCAGCATTCAGGAGGCAGAGGCAGGTGGATATATAAGTTCAAGGCAAGCCTGGTTTATCGAGTGAGTTCCAGGACAGCCAGGACTACACAGAGAAATCCTGTCTCAAACAACAAACAAACAACAACAAACAGACTTCCAAACCACAACCCTGGTATTAAGAAGTATTCAGAGCAGTAGATGTTTCTCCATGCTGCTGGAACAGATGCCACCAAAATGATCAGAGGGAATGACAGTGGACACTCTTTGGGGCTGGGCATGGTATCTGTTCCCACTGGGCAGACTGAGACACCATGACTCAGTGAGTGACATTGTCCAGAATTTGTAGTCTGACCATTAGTTACTGTGTGTGTGTGTGTGTGTGTGTGTGTGTGTGTGTGTGTGGTGTATTATTCTGTTTTAAAGTAATCAGAACTATTTCATGTTTTCAGAGGGGATGCCTGGAAGGTATACTATGTCTGAAATAATCTTATAGACATGAAAACTCTATTATCAGGGGTTTTAAAAACCTTTTGAACAGGGTTAACAGCAAATCAGACATTGCAGAAGAAACGTTTGGGAATTCAAAGATAAGGTAATAGTTACTGGCCAAAGAATAACACACGATCAGGACAGGAGGTGCTGTAACTGACATTATTACATCAATTCATCAAAATTAGAGTTAGTAGCCCACTTAAATATATTGTTTTAGTGTTTTGATTTCAAGTTATTATAATTGAGGCTACCATATATTTTTTAAAGATTTCTTTATCTTACTTTATATATTTTGCCTGTATCTATGTATGTGGACCGTATGGGTGCAGTGCTCATGAAGACCAGAAGGGGGCATCAGATCTGGACCTGGAGTTAGAGATGTTCATGAGCTGCTGTATGGGTGCTGAGAGCTGAACCCTGGTCCTCTGTAAGAGCAGCCAGCGCTCTTAGCTGCTGAGAAGTCTCAGTGTAGACATCTTGCTTTCCTTTCTCTTGGTTAAATATGTAGGAGCAGAATGGCTGATGAGAAACCTACTGTGTCAGTGTTAAATTTCCTGAAGCTGAGGACTTTTCTGCCCTTAGGAGTGGTTGGAGAAGGATATAGTGTATGCACTTTTAGGAGAATTAGTGAGTGTTTTTTCAGGAGGGTGAGAAAAAATCCATATTATGCATCTATGTTTTTTATATACACGGGAGAGAGCCTGGGAGTGAGGCTCTAGAGTAAATGGGAAAAATTGGTGAATCTGGGGAAAGGGCAGCTGGACTTTCATCCTGTGTTTGTAACTTTTCTATAATTATAAAATACAACACCATAATAGGCCAGGATACAGCATCCCCTGGCCTTGAAAGGTTGGTGTTCTGCTGGTGAAGTCTGCCAGCACTCTCAAGCTGTACACACCCAGCTCGGGCGGTCCTCGTTAGAGAGCACGGACGTGCTTTTTTTCCCAACATGCCTGAGACTCAGAAGTGCCTGAAATGGGAACAGATTGTTAAGTGAAATGCTTTTCCTGGGCCAAATCCCCTTAGATGGAGTTGAAATCTATCCGACTCACCCACATTCCTACTCTTTAGTGAATGTGAAGTGGGTGATAATTATCAGACTCCATTTGCGGTCCCTGAGCCTCTCAACAGTATGTTGAAAATGAGACTCATCCGCGGTATAAGAAGCCCAGAGGAACCTTAAATTACTTTAACCTTAAAATACTGAATGTTGTAGGTGGAATTGACAATTTCACAATATGTAGGAAGAAGAGAAAAACAATTCTCTCTCCATTTCTTTTAATTTTAAGATTTAAAAATATTTTAAGCCTATGAGTGTTTTGCCTGCATGTATGTATGTGCACCACATGCATGCAGTGCCTGGAGAGGCCAGAAGAGGGCGCTGAATCCTCTGGAACTGGCATTAGAGATGGTTGTGAGTGCCTTTTGGGTACTGGAAATTGAACCAGCTAGTGCTCTGTGCTCCTCCACCTCTAGACCCGCTTTGGTTTTTTTTTTGTTTGATTGTTTGTTTGTTCGTTTTTGATTTTTTTAAGCTTAAGAAGTAGACTTGTTTTGCCCTAGAAAGTATGGGGGATTTTGGTTTTTCCACACCGAACTTCAGTTTCCTTAGATCTTCGAGCATGGCCCCTCCATCAGCCAGTGCAGCCATTCTCTCCGGGCAGATGAATTCCTCAGACTGCTCCTTGAAGACAGATTCCAAATTAGGTCCTTAGAATGTTTAGCCTCCATGCCAACAACAGCAGAACGTGGTGGCGGAGGGATCATGTTTTATGCTCACTCGGAAACTGCCAGCCTCGGCAAAGGCCTTGGCCTCCAGACATTCTAAACCTATTTACAGTCTTAAAACTTGTAACAGGCTGTAAACTTGTGAGACTCTGGAGCACGCGTGTGTGTGTGTGTGTGTGTGTGTGTGTGTGTGTGTGGCTGCTTTTCTCTTGTCCTTATACAGTAAAGCTGCTCCCCGCAGCTCCCAGCTTCACTCTTTTGTTAGGTAGGGGCCAGGAAAGCTGGATCCTTCTGGTATGCTTGCAGGTTTCTTCCGTGTCACGTCCACTCTCCCCAAGCTGGGGACAGTGAGTGTCTGGGACACCTGCTGCTCCCCGTCCCTTTGCAGCACTGTGTTCTGCTCAGAGCCCATGATGCCCACCCATGAGCTCACTAGTGTCAGAAGCGTCTCGAAGCTTAGTCCATTAAGATTTTAACACAAAGTTATGGGTCATTAAAAAATTATTTGAAGGATCACTGGTCAGTGTTAAAAGGGAAAGTTAAGGCTTGATGGTGGGTGTCCTGGAAATCTCCACTGCCTCTGTAAGGCATCTAAGTGTTATCTTGGGTTTTTTTTTCTCTTCTCCCATCCCCCTTCTCAGTACCCAACCTTTCTCTATCTGTCTCTCTTTCTCTCTCTCCTGCTCCCTCCCTCCCCCCTCCCCCTCTGTCTCTCCCCTATTCCTCCTCCCTCCCTAGATATGGCTGGCCTTACTCTGAGGATTTGTGGGGACACCTTTCTGGATTAGGTCTCTTCCCACCTGCTAGTCCCACCCTGACAAAAGAACACCCCCTCCCCCCCAGGCCACTTAGCCTTCGGAAGCTCTTTTGTGTCTAATAAATGTTAAAACAACCCTAGTCTATTTGAGGAGAGGTGAGGTTTGAGCAACGCTTACTTTGGGAACAGCTTAGTAGACAGACTTACAGCAATCTGGCCACCTTCAGTCACTCACCTGCCACCTGCTGTCCCCAGAGAGGCCCATGGGCCAGGCAGGGCTGAGTTCCAACTGAATGAAGGACACCTCTGACTCCTCCCTTCTAATGTAATGTGTTCATATTTTGAGGGTTTTTTTTTAAATCCATTTATTCTACACTTGAATTTCACCTCTAAATACTTTGTTCGGAAGGCTCATCAGAACTAAATAAGCCTCCTCTTTGTGTTTCAGCATCTCCAGGCTCCGACGCTTGCTTAGCTGCTATGACTCCAGCGACCCGGTTTTTCTGGGTGAACGGTATGGCTATGGCCTGGGTACAGGTGGCTACAGCTACATCACAGGAGGAGGCGGGTGAGTAAGCGAGCAGAGTGGCTTATAGACGAAGCCATCTCTTATCTTTTCTGTATCCCTATTTATCCCTTAAGGGTTATGAGTCCAGGGACCCCTGCAGGTGCTCAAGGCCTTTGGATAAAATGTAATAAGGGCGTGCATCTGTGCCTAAGCTCCTGCAAACCTTAAATCCCTTCCCGATCGCTTCTCATACATATTGCAACATAAATGCTATGGAATGTCCCCTTCTACAATGAGGATCTGATGGTGTAGCCTCAGCTGGCCTGGAGCTCCTCCTCCCCCTGCCTCAGAGTGACACTGGCATCGGGAGGGTGTGCCACCATGCCTAGCTGGAAATAGTTTTTATAGTGTGTCACTTCCCGGGATGATGGAAAGAATACAAACAGTAAATATTTTTCACCTGTGGTCAGTTGAGTCCAGAAAGAACTACCTGTACTTTGAAAGATTTTTCTTTCTGCACAGGCAGAAATGATCTGGGTTCTGAGGTCTGTCTGTTCCGGCACATGGATTCTCTTTAGGCTGTGGTTGCTTCTATTACAGAAAAGTAAACATTACATTTTGGAAACGTGAACAGAACTCGTTGTAAAGATTATTTTATTCTTTGAAGAAATAATACAAAATTTAGGTCAAAGTACATGGTGATGGAAGAAAATGCTTATGGATTTCAATTTCAGAAAAAAAGTCATTAAAATTTTAAATTATCTGGTGCTCAATAAATCATGTTTGATGAAAGAAGAGTATAGAATCTTAGATTAGGCAATTAAGTAATGTTTGTATAGGATTTATAGGTTTTTAAATAATAGTTAAAAATCATTCATTTTAAATGAAGCACCTGCCTGAACTCTATGGGGAAAGATTTTAATTTGATTTTTTATGGGTAAATCAATCGAGCAGTTAATCTCCTCTGTTATTGCTGCAGCCTTTACTAGTGGGTGTTGAGGCAGGTATTAACTGGATATCAGCCATCGACAGTTATGGTCACTGTGTGCCAAGCAGTGTTATATATAGTTTATAAGCTTTTGAAGGGTTAGGGTCTTTTATTCCTATTTTATGAAACCTTGGTTTGGAATGGCTCTGTCTTAGTCTGTTTTGCCTGTCATGATAACAAAATGCTTGAGCCTGGGTAATTTTTAACACGAAGAGGTTTCTTTAGCTGAGAGTTTTAGATGTCCGAAAACATGGCCCTGACTTGTGCTCAGCCCTGGTGGCAGCCTTCTGGTGACATCCCAGGAGGATGACATCAAGGCAGAAGTGCCGGCATGAAGGAGAGAGAATCCAGGCTAACACAGAAAACAGGAGTGGGTGAGGGACAGCCTTTTCCTTTCTACTAACCTGGTAGCCAGCAGAAAGGAAGCTCCCTGACCAGTACTAACTTGCTTCCTCCATGTCCCGTGATATCCTGGTTCATAAGGCCCCTGGTGACTTTGGCATGTGCCCTTCAGTCCTTCAGGCCTCATCTGTCTGAGTTCTCATTCTAATGAATCCATGCTGAACTTGTTGCAATTTCCCAGAAACACACTGTTTCTTCTTTTAAGCATTGTTCCCCTTTCCAGCTTCTTGTGTCTCCAGTTATCCCTGTAGACTTGTGGTAGGTGGCTGTCATTACTAGGCCTGCTGGCCAGCAGTCCCATGCAGCCTCTGCAGTCGAGGTTGGATGCTTTTTAAATGTGCTTTCTTGCACAGTACTTTACGCAACCCGTTACCGTCTAATTGCCTATTTACTTTGCTGCTTCCCGCAAGTTATGAATTATTTGTAGACAGCACCTGTGTCCTGTTTCTCATCACGAACCCACTTTGTAGCTAAGGGACTCATTGCTTTTCAAGGTATAGAGAGAGCATGTCATTAAAAAAAAATACCTGAGCACTGGTGTTTAATTTCCATGTAGCCGACTTGAGTCACGCAAGGTTGGGTTTTTAGAAGTTCCTTCACTAAGATGCAGAAGTGATCTTCATGAGCTGACTCCTTCAGGAGGCCTTTGATAAAAGGTACAAAAAAGATTGTGTTCTTTGTCCAGGGAGTTTCCAATGATTTGGCTTAAGAGTCAAGATTTTTTGTTGTTGTTGTTGTTTTTATACATCGGGTTAGGGGCTGGAGAGGTGGCTCGGTGGTAAAGAACACTGGCTGCTCTTCCAGAGGACACAGTTTAATTCCCACTGCTGCTGCAGAGTCTGGATGCTCAGATACTCCAGTCAAGGCACACCCAGGGACAGCAGGATATAAGAATGTGTGTCTGGCCTTGCCCCTCCCTCTGCTGCACAGACCAGCAGGGTCAGTAGCAAACAGTCCTCCCCTCAGACTTGGGCCCTGTTGTCATGTGGATCCAGAACCCAGCTGTCAAGGGAAGCCAAAAAGGTTGTATGAAAGAAATGTTGCTATCTGTGATGCTAGAGGGAGCATAGAAAGACCAGAGTGGGCTGAGACTGCACCAGGAAGTATCACACACCAGGTCAAACGGTGTCATAGTGTTGAAGATGGGTTATGAGCCAGACTGTGGTATCCCATGTTTTTGATCCCAGCACTTGGGAGGCAGAGGCAGGAGGATCTCTGAGTTTGAGGCCAGCCTGGTCTACAGACTGAGTTCCAAGATAGCCAGGGCTACACAGAGAAACCCTGCCTTAAATGAAACAAACCAGAAGAAGACAGGTCCCTGTCTTCCCACCCCTGCATTATTTTCTGTTGCCGTGATTAAACATGACACATGCTTTAACCATGACGCAAAGTAAATTTGGGAGAAAAGGGTTTATTTCATCTGATACCTTGCAGTCCATCATGAAGGCAAGTCAGGGCAAGAGACAAAGCAGAGACCATGGAGAAGTGCCGTTTACTGGCTTGTTCCCCATGCCTGCCTTCTTATACAGCCCAGGCCTACATGTCCAGGGGTGTTACTACCCACAGTGGAACAGACCTTCCCATATCAGCTATTAATCAGGAAAATGGCCCATAGACTTGCCTCTGGGCCAAGCTAACAGAGGCATTTTCTCAAGTGAGATCCCCCTTTCCTGAAGATTCTGGTGTCTTTCCCGATGATTCTAGTGTGTGTCAAGTTGACAAAAACTAACACAGTAACGTTAGAAAGACAGCATCACATAGTGTTTGTTTACAGGAGTTACATATAAAAGTGTCTACTAGGGAGGTAAACATCTCTTAAGGTGACTTTGCTTTCACAGCATACAAAACTGCCCTCTCCAATTGTCAGTGGAAGTGTTCCCGTCAGTACTGTTCTCCGGAGTTCAGCCTCTAAACACAAGTTCTCCATTAGATTAAACAGGCTCTATGGCTCTAATCCCTGGTTCTGTCTGCTTCTGCCAGCATGGTCTTCAGCAGGGAAGCCATCCGGAGACTTCTCGTGAGCAACTGCCGATGTTACAGCAATGATGCTCCGGACGACATGGTCTTGGGCATGTGCTTCAGTGGCTTGGGAATCCCCGTGACACACAGCCCCCTCTTCCATCAGGTGAGAAACATTTCTCTTCCTGTCTCAGGTGGGGAGTTCTCCTCACTCAGAGAGTCTGTTTCTTTCTCCTCTCATATTTTGGAAATCTTAAGGAAGATGTTGACAGGTTCCATGGGGAATATTGTTTATTTATTTATTTTTACATGTGTGAGTATTTTGTCTGCTTGTATGTATATGTATCACAGGCATACCTGGTGCCCACAGAGGTCAGAAAACTGAAGTAATGGGTGATTGTGAGCTGCCATGTGGGTACTGGGAACTGAACCTGGGTCCTCTGGAAGAGCAGCCAGTGCTCTTAACTGCTGAGCAATCTCTCCAGCCTTTCCTTCTGAACTTCCTCCCTCCTTTCCTTCCTTTCTTTGTTTCTTTCTCAATAAGTAGCAAATCCTAGCAATATAGAAAACTGAGCATGGCAGAATCTCTCTAAAGAAAAACAACTTGAACAAAGCAAAGAACATATAAGCATTGGCAATAAAGGCAGAACTCACGCCTGTGTCCAGGAATGTGTGGGGAGGGGGGCTAAGAATAGAGCTTTTCTGAGAGGAATCTCATGGGAGTCCTTACTTGTGGCCCCTGCTGGAAGGCACATATGCATCCAGGCCTCGAGATGCCTTTCCCTTTTAAGCCTGTGTCTCACGCTATCTTTACGATAGCTCAGAAAGTGAATTACTCTCTGTTCCTGCCTCTCAGCCTAGATGTCTCCATGTTTTACTCACAGAAAAAATAATGCAAGCTGCTTGTGTATAAGGGAAGTAACTTAGGAAGATTAATTAGATTTGTCTATAGCAGCTCCTTCCTCCTAGGAAGACAGAAAGATAATGTAATCCCGGAGTGAACATCTTTTGAAGATAACTCGGAAACAATTATTTTCAGAGTTATGTGCTGTTCCTCGTGTTTTAAAAACTCTTGATATCTCTGATGCACACAGTAAATCTGAACCCTCGGGATGCCACAGAGGGTTTAGAGTCTGCGCCCCCACCCTACCCTGCCGTGGCCGCTCTCTTTAGCATCTTTTAGAGTGTGAGCAGATTCAAAGAGGATTTGACATTTGTCATGTCTCAACCCAGATCTCTCTGCTGTTTGTGCTGAGAGAATCTGAGACAGGGTACCCATGCCTCAGATGCCCAATATGTAACAGATAGAGGGGGACTCAGAGCAACCTCAGAGGCCGCACTGTTTCTGTCAGGCTAGGTAACTATAAAGTCATAGGCCTCGATCACCCGTTCTAAAATCATATTTCACTAATGGATATGGTAACATGCAATGCTCAGTGAACTCTCTGCATAAAATATAGATATTAAACCCAACAAGAATTTGTAAAGATAAATAATGGTTCTGGGACTCTGGACATCAAATAAAACCTAACGATAAACTTAGAAGCATTAATTTCCAAAAATCTCCCTGCTATGTATACCTTTTGAATATGAATAATGGAACACAAGTCCTTCATGTCCAGAATGTCTGCCATCCTACCTGTTCCCCGCCCTGTAGCTCAGTGACAGGGAACATCATTTTTACGTATGTGTGCCTCACTAGAATAAATAAAAGCTTTGTTCATAAGAGAGGACTTGGCGTGGGGAAGACGGGATGAAAGCATATCAGCCAGCATTGCTGTTAGTGTTGATATGGGGCAAACAAGAATAGGCCATGTCTTCACACATAGATCAGTGCCTCACCAGGCCATATCTGAGAAGCTTGTCAGAGGACCCAGGTTCGAGTCCCAGTGCCCACATGGTGGCTCACAATCATCTGAAACTCTAGTTGTAGGGATCCAGTGCTTTCTTCTGACCTCCATGTTTCCCACCTTGATGATGACTGACCCTCTGACCCTGTAAGCCAGCCCCCATTAAATGTTATCCTTATAAAAGTTGCCTTGGTCATAGTGTCTCTTGACAGCAATAAAACCATAAGACAGATACACGTACATGCATGCAGTAAAACACTCATTCACATAAAAGAGTCTAAAAACGTGTGTTACATATCATTTTAATAATTGGGATGATTTTAGTATTACAAGCTAAATAAGTTACAATATAAAGCAAATGGCTATAGAAATGTATAGGCAACTCAAGGACATTGATAGAAAGTGGACACTTCAATTAGTGCAAACATGTCATTTGAACACAAAATGACACAACCATGTCATTTCGGGGCATGTCTCATTCTGCCTGCGATTCATTTTCTGAGTTTCCGAGAATGAGAACGGTGGCAATAAATAACATTACACCCTTTGTGTTTTTCTTAGGTTTAGTCTTTTCGTTTGTATGGCGGGACTAGAATTAAACTGTTTTTCGCTACAGCGAATTCATGTTTTCTCTTTGAAAGCCTCACCTGGGTATGTTGGGGTGGTAGGCAGCCTGAGCCCTGAGAACACCTCGCCTCAGCTCCTGCACAGCCCACACCTGGCAGTTTCTCAGGAGAGACCTAGGAAATGAGTTTTCCTCCTTTTCTTTTTTTAATTTTTATTTTTTTCCCCAGAAGTTATATCACACACAGCTAACTTAAGTGAATCACGGAGGAAACCTTTTATGTTTATCACGGTGCTCAAACAGACTCGGGGACTCTAAGTGTGGAGCATTTGAGAAATTAATCCAGAGAAATTCAAGGGCAACGAGCATGGAGGTTGAGGGAAAGTAGTTGAAAATGCATCCCTTCCCACTTTAGGTTCCCGTAGTCACTATCAAATACTAAAGCGACCTGGTGGCAATACGGATCAATGTTTATCTTTCGCCGGTTGTTATGGTGGGCATTTTAAATCACAGCACTCAGGGAAGCAGAAGCAGGCAGATCTCAGAATCCAAGGCCATCCTGGTCTACATAGGAAGTTCCAGGCCAGCCTGGGCTATGTAGAGAGACTCTGTCTCAAAAATTGAAACAAACCAAAATGTTATTCTGAGATAATAATTTAAGATTCGCCTTTACGTATTGTGTTGGTGAGTAAGAGAAGTCCTGGTGAGCATGTGATCATGCTCAGATGCGACTTTGCTGCATGCCACCAGGCTGCGTGCTCTTTGAGGACAAGGGGAGCTTCCTAGATCTATTGTGTCCCCAGAGCCTGACATACACACGAAACATGAGAGAGTAAAGTAGGTTAGTGGTTCAGCGCTGCAGTGCTCCGTGCGCAGTGGTTCAGCGCCGCGGTGCTCCGTGCGCAGTGGTTCAGCGCCGCGATGCTCCGAGCACAGTGGTCCGTGCACAGAGCCCCGCTCTTTTCTTGGTGGGGGTTGGGAGGCTGTGTTCTCCCTCAGGTAAAGCAGAGAGATGAAGATGGCTCAGGAAGGAGGCAGAGGCAGCTGAGCCCAGGCCTAAACAGCACCTAATGCCAAAAGGCCTGCAGCATGGGGCTGAGAGGAGGGGGAGATGGCCTACATGGGGTCCCCCTCTTCACCAGAGCTTGCTATCTGAACCCACATGTAAACTACAGGCAAGAATTAAGGCCCCTAGCAACTGTTCAGAGCAACATATGGGCTCCAGGGTGAAGCTAGGTCCTCAGGCTTGGCACGGAGCACTTTTACCTGCTGAGGCAATCATTGTTTTTAATTGAAAATAGTTTTTTTTATTATACAGTATATTCTGAGTACAGTTCGCCTTGCCCAGTTCCTTCCAGGTCCTTTCTGCCTTCTCCTCTCCACACAACCCCACCCCTTTTTTTCTCTTATTAGAAAACAAACAGGGATGTAAAAACGAAAGAAACAAGATAAAATAAAGTAAATAAAATAAAATAAAGTAAAAACAAGCAAACCAAAATTGGATGGAGGGGGAACGAAATAAAAAGCACAAGAAACACATAATGATTCATACATTGGGACACACAGAGATCCCATAAAAAACACAAAATAGGGAACCATGTTTAAAAAAAAAAGCCCAGAGAAAGCTTTGAGATCAAAAAAAGTAAAACAAAACACACACACACACACACACACACACACACAGCTGTCTAAAAATAGCAATGAGTTCATTTCATGTTGGCCATCTACTGCTGAGCATGGAGCCTGCCTGCTCGAGGGTATGGTTTGCATATCCAGTGAGACTCCTTTGGAGAAAACTAGTTCTTCCATTTTGAGCAGTTATCAATTGGAGATAACTTCTGGGTTAGGGATAGGACCTTGTGCCCACTCTCAGCACTGGGACTCCATCCGGCTTAGACCTGTGCAGGCCCTGCGCATGCTCTGTGAGTTTATCTAAGTGTGTCAAGTCCTACTGGGTATGTTTCCGTGGTGTCTTCTATCCCCACAGGCTCTTAAAATCTTTCTACCCCCTTTCTGCAGAGCTCTTTGAGCCCCAAGGGAGAGAGGAGAGATTTGATGGAGATGTCACATTTGGGACTGGGTGTTCCAAGGTCCCTCTGAGTTGTCCAGTTGTGGGTCTCTGTATTTGTTCCCATCAGCAGGAGGAATGATTTGATCATTCTTAATCACCAGGAAACCATAACTCTGTTTGTTTTTGTTTTTGTTTTTGTTTTTGTTTTGCGCAGGCTCGGCCGGTAGATTACCCCAAGGACTACCTCTCCCATCAGATTCCAGTATCATTTCACAAACACTGGCACATTGACCCGGTAAAGGTGTATCTCACGTGGCTGGCACCTGGTGAGGAAGACCAAGCCACGCAGGAGACACAGAAGGAGCCAAGAGAAGAATTGTAGACCAGAGTCTGGGACACATGGACACAACAAGAGATTCACCCCATCTGTGGAGCTGTGATCCAGATGCTCGTGTATGCCATGTGAAATGGACACTCCCAGCCCTCACAGAAATGTATTTTTTGGATGGGGTAGACTCGTAAGGGAAACTGGGGAAAATCGCTTGTTTTGACTGATGTCGTAATTGTAAGACAGCAATTACTGTGCCTATTTTAGCCCACCACAGGCTGTGACACAACAGCTTTTGGACTGTCAGAGGAAATAAATGGCACCTGAAGTCCTTTTCTGTTTTTTTTTTTTTCATTGTAACAGGGACTCTAGTACAAGAACATGATTGGCTATCATTCCACATAAACATTGAGTCTTTTGACATGGATATTGCCAAAGGAATGAACTGTTAAACCAGTGGTTCTCAATCTGTGGGTCGCGACCCCTGGGAACAGCAGTGGTCACATGTCAGGTACCCTGCATATTAGTTATTTACATTGCGATTCATAAAATGTAGAAAAAAAATACAGTTATGAAGTAGCAGGGAAATAGTTTTATGGTTGTGGGTTACCACAACACGAACTGTATTAAAGGGTTGCTTCATTAGGAAGGTTGAGAACCACAGCTTTAAATGGTCCTGTTGTTGATTGGTTCCCAGGCACTCAGTAGGAATGAGGTACTGAGGCTGGTAAAACCTAAAACTCAATATGAATGCTCCTGAACAATACAATCACCGTTGCTCTTTTCCCTATTCAGCTGGTAGCACCCCAAAAACAGAGACTCAAGGCCGTCTGGTGAAGCCTCTGCTCCCTGCCAGTCTCCCCAGAGGCCTCTGGTGTAGAGGGACAGAGTGTCACCAGAAATTAGGTTGCTGGGCTCACGGGTCTCTTCTGTGTCAGCAGTGGGGATGGGAGTCTGGAGACGTGAGAGGCGTCTGGAGCTGGCCTGTTACTCTGCCTTTTCTCTGGGTGTTACATTGTAACTTGCTTCTGGCTCAGGCTAGACTGGCCTCCATCCTGGCAGCGACAGCACAGGCCCTCATGAGCGGACAGCATGGGTCTTGGCAATTTCCCTGGGTTTTTAAATAATGGAATCTGAACAGCGTGTTTTAAAGCAACCCTCATTTTCCAATCACACCTTTTATTATGTCATAATTTAATAATTCAGTATTAATATAAAAAAGAGTACTGTGTGCTAATGTTTAAAGTAAGATGATGATTTTGCTGATGGTTTTGTTATTTTAAGGTCTTTGTACATGCTTCATTAACCTTACTTATAAGGTTTCTAAACCCCTATAGCCTTTCAAGCCACACCATGGAAAATACCTGTGTGATTATTTTTTTTAACAATGTATATTCCTATGTAGCTTACTTTTGACTCATGTCCAAATTCATGCAATAATATTTGTCATCCTTCCCCAAATTAATAAGCACCAGAACTAGTGTGTGGCCTGCTACTTCTAGTCTCTGGTGGAATACAGTCGGTGAAAACTGATTTTGTGGTTCAGCCAGAAACTGGACTGATGACAGTCAAGTACATGAAAAGGACCATAATGGTTTCTGGGTGTCCTGCTGATGGTTCCAGCACCATTGCTGATGAAACTGTGGGTGTGGCCATTGCTATCACAATACTTGACCTTGCAGTGATACCCCCAGGGGACCTGGCTACTACCCCAGTAGAGTACAGGGAATTCCTCAGCCAACCCCCTCCACCTCTGCTCATGACTCTGTGTTACCAGCCAGAGAACAGAGGTAGTTTCATCTAAACATGAAGAATGAAGAACTGTTCAACCTTTCTTCTCCGTTAAGACCTGTGCCCTCTTTTCCTTCCAGGGTCCCTTGCTGGTATTTCTAGATATTTGTTTAAATATGTTTCCTTTTTGGAACTACAGGAGCCTCACCATGAATATAATGTCTTCAGCTCACTTCTGACTTTGCATTTTATCTATTGGTTGAGCCTTTATTGGGAGGGACGTGCAGGACAAGCACTGAGAAATTGGGAACACTGGCAGAGCAGTGAGACAATCAGTGTAAACTAAGCATCTTAGAAAAAAGCAAAGAGATTAAAAAACCCCACAGTTTATAAAGGTATTGTGTCTGATATATAGGAAATGACAGGCTCTATTTGAACACCAACTGAGAATTGATATCTTAAAAAAAAAACCAATAAAAACAAAAAACTTAATTTTGAGCCTGGATTTTTCAGGGTACATACCATCCTCTCTGCTGTTCTTTTCCCCTTTAAGTACGGATTTCTTTGCCAGTGGATATTTTTATCCTAAGGATTTACGTATGGAATTACCTGGTAGGTCATTTTTACTTTTAAGTCATTTCTCATGACCCAGCACATCGCCTGACTGTAGGAGTTTTACATCTTATAGCTAAATCAGAAGTCAAGACACAAAAATAACCTTTGTCAAAATGCTCGGGAACATAATCGCTCAGCAGCCTGAGTAACAAACGATGCTATGAAGGGCCGTGTAGATGCCCGTGTTCTCTGCGTGCCCTGATTGATCGACGACATTGAGTATGTCGCGTCCATCATAGTTATTGATGTGTATAGAGAGCCTCAGAGATCCGCTACCCAGTAAACATTTGTAAGAATATTTGTGGTGCCTCCGTTCGTAAACGTGTCATTGCTGTGGAAGAAAAATCAATCAATGTATCATTAAGTACACTGTAGCAGACTTACAAAGGAGCTTTGTTCCTGCCGTCTTTGAATGACAGGCCTGAAAAGGTGCTATTTATTATGTCCCCAAGCCTTCTAAACAAGTCACCTGCAAAATGGGTTCTCCTCCTTTCTATAGAATAAAATAAAGGCTTTGTTTCTGGTATGCTTTGGCCCCTGTTGTCTCTTTAAAGGCATGGATATTCCAAGCAGGGG